TGGGATGCTCTTAAACGAGCAGTATGGAACTGTGAGCCACGTCCCCAGACAGTTCCAGAGCTCAGGGAAGCCGCTATTGAAGAATGGGATAGGTTACCCCAGGAAATGCTGGATAACTTGATCCTCAGCATGCCCAGGAGGATCTTCGCATGTATTCGAGCCAGGGGAGGAGTTATTTTATATTGAATTCACACCTTTTAATAATAAATTGTTGTTTAAGTTTAATTAAACAGTCTTTTTCTTTCTATGAAATTTCTATCACTATTACATTATGATTAATGGCTCAATTTTTTAAAATAAATAATAAAAAATAGTTTTATATTTTAATTTCAAACAGGGTATTCCTATTTAAAGAAAGCATACAACATAGATTTTTTCTTGATAAAGTTAAAGAATTATAGGAGCTTATGCTATTGATCGCAAACTTTTTTTGATGTGTGTATGATATTGCAAATTCATTCAATACGTTTAAGAAAAAAGTGGGAGAACTGACATTCTAGTGGTCCTAACGCATACTTTTTTTATTTTTGGGTCAGTAATGTAGACATTTTGGTAGTATAATGTTGATATTTTGAATCCATCACGTATTTGTACAATTTACGTTTCATGTTTCAGTATATGGTACTGTAAGTCTATTTATATACAATGTTCTCAAATAATTGTTTGTTACCTGAATAAATAAATAAAATAAAAACATATATTCATTCTGATACATACCTCTCGGCCGTGCTGGGCGTGTGGCAGCGCCAGGCAGCGTCGTCGAGACCCACCTTGACTTCGGCGAGCTTCTCCACTATTTCGGGGAATAGTGGACGCGCCTTAGGCTCGTACTGGAAATGAACAAACATTTATTTATTCACTACCTTTGGATCTATAACATACCTGTTGTTAGCATTATGAAACCTTTACACGATTCAAGTTAAAATGGCACTTGCCCGTTAGGCAGCAGATGCAAAATAATCAACAATGTATGCATGTAAAAGACATGTCAATTATAGACATATTCACTGAGGTCTGTACGCAGTGTACTTAAACCTTGAACAGTCAACAGAAATGATAATTTAATGCAATGCTAACAATGCAGCAGTTGAAAGCGAGCCGCAGCAATTCGGGCACGGTGCGCTCGTCGCACAGCTCCACGAACGCCATGTAGTTGAGGCCGAAGTTGTCGGTGCGCGGCAGCACGTCCGGGTCGGCGTCCACCTGCAAAGTGACCGTTTGCGTCAATCCATAAACATTCTACTAAACTATTTTTCATCACACCTGCTCGTAAACAGTGTCGTAACACGCGGGCAAGGTCGACCCGTATTCTCCTAAATTACGCCTACGGGCTTTTGCATTACATTACCGCCTTGTGGCAGTAATGGATTCATTTAATTTTTAATTGTACTGTACTTTTCAAAATCAAGATTAAGCAAAAAGATTTTATGCTCGAAAAATATAAAGATATATAATAAAGTACAGAAAAAAAAACGAAACATTTGCAATTTATTTGACAATATTTAACAAGTACATTTTATAAATTCAAAGTCACAGTATTTTTAGTATTTTGAAATTATTTATTTCATGTTTAATTCATCCTGGCCGCCATGCGTCCTCCCCATGTACACCATTTTAGTTCGAGTTGTATTATTTGTGGAAGAATAGCCTGGCCATCTGGTTATAAAAAAAAAACACAACAACCCCCCATTTGCAAAATCTGTAATTGTTGTGTTGTACATAGATATCGTTGGTTGTGAAGCGATATTTATTTTTCTTGCATTCATCTTTGTATTTATTTCTTCGCGCATGTGATCAAAAACATTTTGTGTAACACAGGCGGTAGGGGAACTATGAACCTCGACTGCGAAAGCCTTCAGTCTTCGACTTCGGACTTCCAATAGAGCCTCGATCATTGTTCCTTATTTACCGCCTTTTATACGCAATGTACTATTAAAGAAAATACTATTAGTGAATAAGAGTACTATTAGCGAAGGCATTACAATAACATCTTTCGTGAAGTAGTTAAACGTAGTTTGTATTTAAAGACATTCCCAAACTTATTGAAATAAAAGATGGTTACCCTGGCGATAAGCTGGCAGAGTATAATGCCGTAGGAGAAAATGTCGGAGCGATGGTCGTACCAGCGCCCGCGCAGACATTCGGGCGACATCCACCACGGCGAGCCCACGCTTGGTAACCGGTACCCGTTACTGAAAAAAAAATCCTTCACATATACATACTTATCTAGCAAAATCTTTTCTAATAATATACAATGAACGAGTGTTGGTGAGCGGACATTAGCCACTTTCTAACTATCGTTGTATTTCGTATGCGAACCATTTTGTTATCTTCTCCAAGCATTTCCCCTGAAACCTGTAAAGTCACGAGCGTTAAATATTGTCCTGAATATAAACGTGGAAATCGCGTGTGTACACCCGTACTTCTCAGCATCAATTTATAAGCAGGTCTATTGTACCGTGATCGTACCTTCACGTACCTGTTATGAAAGTTTATATACAGTAGAGCTCCTTGTGAAAGAGTTCGTCCAGGGAAGCAACCTTACTTATTTCGACCGCTAAGTAGTAATGTGAGCATTACTGCGTTCCGGTCCTGAAGGGTAAGGGCACATGGGACTTACCAACTTATTACTTTAATCTCAAGATGATGAGTGCAGTGGGAGTGCCCCTCAGACCACCTGACTTTTTCGTCCCGGCGTCACATGGTATCATAAAAAAAAGTCCTAAAATTTTCAAATGGTGTATTTTTCAAAGTATTTTTCCAAAAATAACAATAACGCATACACACATGGCCCCTCACTAGGGAAACCCGCTATCGAGGGTGCACACACACACATAGACAATCACAAATTACCCCCAAACTCACGAGAGAAATAAATGTAGGCAATACAAATATTTCTTCCGGCCCGGGATTCGAAACCGTGATCTAACTTTGCGTAGCAGACTGGCATGGCAATCGTTCGGCCGTGGAGGCAGTTGTAAAAAAACTTTATTATTGTTTTTGCAAAATATTGAAAAAATATAATACAGAAATATTAAAAACTAATTTGGGTACCTCTTACGAAGTAATGAGTACGTAAGAGGCGTCAAAAGAAAAAAAAAAATACAAAATAAGCTCATTATTTTGTATTTGCATGATAATTATATAGTATATAATTATCATACAGCATTCTGACGCGAACTCGCGCCCTGTCGTTTACGAAAATTTTTGAGAGACCAACCCTATCGTAAATATTGACCGTACAGGAAAGTAGACATCAAAATATAAAATGACCGAAGTGCCAAATTCTCCAAAATTTGTTTTATGTGTTTAGGATAATAACTGTGTTTATTTTGGAGCGACAATAATAAATTTTCGTTTATTTAGGTCCATCACATAAGCATTCTTTAAATAACGGTCGGGAAATGTTTTTAATCATAATATTATTTTTGCTTAATGCATTTGAGCGGACCGCCTTTTGATTACTGACAGCAATATAAACCACACAGACACATGTGAAATATATTTTATCAAAATTTTATTTTTGACGCTATTATTATAGCAAATGTTGCAGAATTTAGATAATTTTAACATTTTTTATTATAATGCAAAAAAAGTATACCATACTAAGTCTTTTACTTTAAGATCAGAATGTAATTTGTTTAATATTTGAACAACATTTTTAGGTTTGTATTAATAAACAGCTTCTAAGGTTCTTGGCATAAGTTTGCTTTTTGTTCAATGTAATATTTTGAGCACTCAGAAACATATACATGAAAATAATATCTTTGATTGTTATGCTAACTGTACTAAACTTGTGACCCATACCAGAGAACAAAAAGTAACGAGAATGGGCACTCTCCGCCGCTCCCTAGCTTTAAATACCGCACCACGCTCCCCACATTGACGGTCACATTGACTGAACGACAACAAGGCTGTCGGCGAGTCGTTTTCGCATAAGACGCCTTTGATATTTGAATGTAGTTTTCATTTATTCATCACGAAACTTGTATGTTAATATATAACATCATTATAGGTGACTATTTATAATAGTCGTGAATTGTACTGTGTGCGGCTGTTTATAATAATTTTTTTGCTTACTTCCTAGTAAGCGTTATTTATTTATTTATTTATTAATTTTCAATTTGTCTTGCCGATAAATATTACGTAGTGAATATACCTAATTATTAACTAGGTAATGATAAACTTGGACACGCAATTCCAAATACAATGGTTACCTTATTTAAAGGTACCTGTCCAAAATTTAATATTTTAAGTGTTTTTAATATATTTTTTAAATAAATCTTTAATATCATTTTAGTTAGTGAAGTAATGAAAAATATAATATTATTTCGATATAAATACCTAATGAACATGTGTAATTATTACGATTCTATTAAAAGCATTATAGATAACAGATTCGCGTTAGAATTTTCGCTATGTTGCCGCTTTGACCGCGTAACGTAATAGTACGAAAAAGTGATGGGTAACCCTGCCACTTCACGTGCACATTTGCGCGTGTGCAGATAGCGCCTTGCTGTATGTAGTAGTAGTAGGTAAATAACTTTCGAGTGTTGTATGGAGTGTCCGGGGTGTGCCCATACCGCACCTACGACACACCTCAAAGGAAAATCTAACCAACAATACGCAACCTCATTTAAAAATGAGGGTCGAATTCCCTTGCAATATTTCGCAATGATAAATAGTCAGCGTTGACAAATGATCTAATGTTATTCTTTAATATATAATACTCCGCTTCTATTAAGGACTAACTGACATGAGTATTATCAACCTTATTTTTATGACTTTAGTACCTACTTTGGAGGAGGAATTTTGTATATTACAGTATATATATTCTACGGCCGTTATAATATGACCTAGGCATACTTTTGATATAAAATTCGGTAATTGTATACAATATTGCGGTTCTCTGTAGTAGATTGAGTTTACTATTATAAGGTCGTCGTGTGGTGAAAGATTAAAAAAAGTTCAATAACACGTTCTTGGAACGTGATAGTTTAGGTGTTCAACTGGCACGGTAAATACCGTAATATAGTGGAATAGAAACTATAAGTAGCACAGTACAGTTCTTTGTGAAAGAGTTCGTCCAAGCAAGTACTGTCACGTTACCTGTTTCTGCCGCCAAGCAATAATGTGAGCATTACTACGTTCCGTTTGGAAGAGTAAGGGTGCTTGTCAAATTACAGGCACTTGGGACTTGTCAACTTATGTCTCAGGATAACGGGCGCAATGGCAGTGCCTCTTAGTTCTTTTCGATTTAAAGCCCTGAGTGGCGTTGTAACTGTTACGTATAGACGTGCTGCTTACCACCTGGCGCACGACTTGTACGTCTCGTCAATTGGCGTTATAAAATAAAGTGAAATTCTTTCATTTAACGGGCGATATCGTTTATAGCAGGGTTCGAAGACACAATGTTAGTATAATTTATACGACAATTACTTTCATATTTATATAATTAATTAAGAACAAAATGCTACCATAAGCAATGACGAGACATGTGTTTGTATGTGGGGGTCTATTCTCATTCTCCGTCCGAAACAATTACTGTGAAACAAGTAACATTCGACTAAATTAAAAGATGCATGATGCCAATGAAGCTTCATACTTCACAGTTTTTTTTAAATTAGTCGAGTATTACTTACTTAACAATAATTGTTTCGGACGAAGGACGAGAGTTAGACATCCAGAGCCGTATCGATTTTTTTAGATTGACATAGTCAAATATCACTCTAAAAAAATCACCAACCTAATATTTTTCCAAAGATTTTTCTGCGTGTTTATGTAGTTTTCTCACTGCTAAATAAAAAAATTTTTTCACTGTTAGTCTAAATATAAAATATTAATAAATATATAAAATATTTAGTTAAAAATTAAAGAAATAATTAAAACCTTAAAAACAATTTAAACCTAAAAAAAACCTTAGTACCAGCAGACAATTATCAGATATAATATATCGGAATTGCCAAAGAAAATAAATATCTTAATTTACACTGCGATTTTTGTTACGTATTCATATTTTGACGCGAAATCCCGTAGATTAGTAGTAGTTAGTAGTAGACACCACTTCAATTCATAGCATATACTGGTAACCACGCAATCAAAATGCGACGAGGTTTCCCGTAGATTTTCGGTATGAGACGCGGGCACACTTCATGTCGCAGGCGACAATGGTTATCAATTCACAATATACAATGCTATCAACCGTTATCATGTAGACATATTTCGACATGGTTCCTAAAAGTCGTTGAGATTGGCCAACTGAACGTAATAATTCTGTCAAAGACCATTTTACATCAGTCGTGTTATCAATGCGACACGCGAAATTGCGTGCGACTCAATTCATGCGTATAGCGATGCGTTTGACGCATGTTGGATGCGATAATTGTTGTTTTTAGTTGGAATTTCAAATATGGGATTTCCACGTGGTAACATTTGAAAGTTATTGACAGATTGTTATGACTGGTAATGAGTAGGTTCGTTATTTACTCGTATAGTGTTGAAATGACAATTGTTAGTCTACAGAATACATGATGTTGATTTATTTATATGTAATTTCAACAAATTTGTTCTATTTATATCTGTCCAATTGTGGGACGTCCTGTAAGAGATTTTTGTCTCATGAGAGGTTCAGTCAGGACTCCCTCGTCGGCGTTTGTCCAAAGAAAAGTCAGTTTAATTTTGAATTTCTGTCAGTCTAGTCAGTTGCGACTCCAATTTAATTATTTTTTATAAGCAACCAGTCCCGGAAACACACGGTACTCGTATTTGGGCTCATTCGGGATCCGCTGCTATTTTAAACCGACCCCGGGTTCAGATACTACAAACCCTTTATGGCCAGTCAGTCCGCTGGTAATGCATGGAGACTGGACGCGACAACCGGTACCTACACACTATCGTCGTTTCTACTTACAAATAAAAGAGATCACTGTCTCTCTAATATTTAGAAAGTAACTTAATTACTTCTAATTATCGATGGGCGATAGTTACACACAATAAACGAATTAATCGATCATAAAAAAAGACCAAAATAATTTTATTGTTTTAATAAATTAGTCACTATACTATTAATTTTTATTGTTAATCAAATATCGAATGTGAGTCGAAGTAGTTACTGACCTACTAGTTACTAATGTTTGATTGTTGATGGAATGATGATGGTGAATAGATTTTTTTATTATTAATCGATAGTCGATTATGGATCAAATTTTGATTGTTGTTTGGTAAGAATACTTAATACAACAAATGCGGACGATTGAAAGCCGTATGAATTGATCGCACCGTGCCGCCGTTCTCGATTGTTGTCGATTAGTAAATCGCGGGCATCGGCGCTATTTGCTTGTTTTACGCGGATATTTAAATCGTTGTTGTTGATATGTTCTATATTTCAAACACCATCACTCGATAATGAAGTGCGATGGATGGATATATATCAATATGTAATAATTGCTGGTTTCATTAGAATAATTTGAGCATATAGTTCTATATACAATATCTAAGTTTTAGTATAATATAATGAAATAGTAAATTAAATTATTTATATATATATATAAAAAATATTATTACGATAATTAAATAAATATGGATTAATATTATCGATTTCAATCTGCCACCGCTTCGCTCTTCGATTATTTTGAATTTTTAGTTTAAAAAAAAAAAAATTACATATTCGTATAAAAGTATGGAGGAACTTGTGTTAGTAATTACTAAATTAGTAACTGTATTCGATTATTTTCCGGTAAAGACTACTAAATCGACAGTCGAGTACACGATGAGTACAACTATCGTCGATTTTTTTTTAGTAACGATTGCCTATCGCTAGTTCTAATCTCGTTCATAAAAAAAAGAGATGCTTACACAGGATGGGGTATTTTAGCAGCCAAGCCAAAGTCGGCTACCACGGCAGTGTAGTCACCGTCACCGACTTTTCTAAGTAGTACATTCTGAAACACAAAACATCACAGTTTATTATCAAATAACGTATAATTACGCAATGTTACGTTAGTACATTAAATAGAGAAGAAAAAAGTTTAGTAAATGATGGAGTGAAGAAATATCCTGTTCACAAAGTCCGACCCCAAGAGAGTCTCATTCATCTCACGGGAATTCGTGTCATGAATGAGTAGTCGTGTTTAATCAATTTGATAATTTCAAGTCTTGCTTATTTACTTTTCAAATAAAAATATTATAACGCATCTAAAAATCATGTATATTTGTCGCGTATATGGTTACGATTGATACGGGACCTGTATAAGGCTCGAAGCGTTGCTTTGTTTGAAAAAACAAATATACGCGATTTTAAGCCCGGAAAAATTGTTTCATTTCCTAAAATACTTTGAATTCTGGACATAATTATCATATCACAGAACCAAAATTCGCAGCTTCGCTCAGTCAAGTAGTTTTATTGATCTACCTTCCTACCGAATATATTTTTTATTTACAAATTTCTAATTAATTATTTAAATGTAACGAATACATTGTTGTTAATATATGTTCTATAATTTAAAAATCACTTACAAATCACTAAACTGCGTGAAAAACAATTTCCTCAAACAGTCATACAGAAGTGCAAATTCCAAACGTGTGCATTGCACGCCACCTCTTGCAGTTCGCGTGCAGTTGATTGCGTCTCTTGACACAATTGACCAACTGCACCCGTTCTTGGTTAACCCTCTCACCTAACCTTTGCATGTAGTAAATTAGCGTTTAATTGAGTGGAATAAAGTTAAGTATTCCAATCATAACAGACAACATGTTACTTAAGGTTTTATTTACAAAGTAAATATTTTAGTAGAAAACACAACAATTGGACATAAAATGTAAAAACTTTTGTAATGTAACAGGATCGTAACGTTGCACCTTAATAGAAAATGAGCCAAAACCACATCTTCTGGATTGTTCGACAGGAAACCCGATAGATGGGTAAAGTGATCCAGTTGGGAGAGCGTCAACCACGTATGTTGAAGGCGCGGGTTCGAATTCAACGGATCGAATGTTTTTTTCTGAATGAATGAATGAATGATTATAACAACCTGGTGGAGTAATTTCACAAAAAATAATAGAATATCACGGTAGTAAAACACCGTGATATTCGATAAACCTATTATTATTAAAGTGACATCTCTAGTCAATTGGTAGCTGTAAAGGTACCTGACTCAGTGAATAAAAACTTTCATAGATTTCTCACAGATGGCGCTACGGCAAAAAAGTCTTTAAAAAACAAAAACAAAAATCTGCAACAAGCACATAGAAATATTCGTAAAGTGATCCAATTTCTAACACAGTTAATTAAGGTTTTGGACCATTTGATTTAAATGACAATGCCACAGTCGACGGAAACCGTTCTTTCAGATAAACACGTTTAGAAAATGTTAGAACTTCGTATTCCACATAGACTTCTAGTTTTTGACATAAAAGTTTTTGCCTTCTAGGAGTGTCCGTGAAATAGATTATTGCAAAAATATGTACAGGCACTAACTGTAGGTACTTGCAATAAAGAACTTTTTTGAGTTCCTATGAACTAATATATTTTTATTTCGAACAACATAGATAACTATAGTCCATTTCACATAGGACGGGTACTGAGACATTTAACATTTTTAAGTTACATGCATACTATTTTTAACCAATACTTTTTTCAAACAATATTTGTTTCAGTCTTTAATAAATAATATCATTAATATTTTTGTTAATATTATCTTCTTTATATATTAATAAATATTATATACTTATAAAGAACATAGAAATTGAAATGATAAAGATAAAAATAAATTGCCTGAACTGCTGGATGCGTAAAACGGAATATTTATCCTTAGAGATTTACACCATAGAATCGATAAAGCGGATCGGCTATTGTATATCTCGCGTTAATACCCCCTATATATTATTTTTTTTGTTTTAAGCTTGGCGCGATGTTTGTGGAGTAATTGTTCAAATTTCGTTTCGTTGCTGTTGTTTTTACGCTTTTTTGTTGACATTTTGTTTGGTAATTGATTTTTTAAATTGATGTGTAGTTTTTTAGTAACTTAATAACATAATAACTTAATCCTTTTTATTTTCTTCTTTATTTGTTCTTAAACTATAATTTCTAAATCGATTCTCTATTCGTTATAAACTATCTCAATAAGATATTTAAATCGATTTTAATTTCATTCGTTTTTACACCACTACATCCCTAGAAACTTCAAATCTCAAACGTCACTGTACCCATGCTATGTGAAATGGACTATAGGAAATTTGTAAAACGTACATAATTATATTATATAATTATATATATTTATTATTATTATAATTATGTTGAAAATTATGTTGGTATATCGTTCAATTTATCTACGAGTGTTATCTTATAATAAGAAATACTGTTATCATGTTTGGAGGATCACTAACTCCAATAATAAATTTATTAACTTGGCTTAGGAGTTTACAACGCGTTAATCTGTTTAAATGACTAATGTATGACCAAAATTATAACATGATAAATCTGTATTTTGATTACATTATGTGTTGTACCGTCCAAAAGAAATAAATTATTATTAATATTGTTATATTGTTACATACACATTTTTGAGGTGGAACAGAAGCTAGCATTGACTTCAGAAGTATTATAAAAGAATATTATCCACAAAATTATTGAAAATTCTTACCTTAGCGGTGAGATCCCTATGGAAGACGCCAAGCGAGTGCAAGTACGCCATGCCGGAGGCGACGTCAGCGGCGAGGGAAACTCGTAGGGGCTGCGGCAACGGTTCCTCGCCTAGGATTAACTGCTCCAGAGAACCGCCCTCCATGTATTCCGTGAGCGCGTGGAGTTGGCCCTCGTGGACGCACACACCCATGAACCTGTGAACATTGTCAAGGTTGTCAGTTAGAAATCAAATGCTCCTCAGAAGTTAGAATATTCAGTCTATCTAGACAGATTAAGCTTAGAAGACGACTTTGATATGAACTTTCTATAATCGATTGGTGTCAGGTAACTAAACGTGTAATTATGTTGTACTTTTGTTAAATGGTCTACTTAGAGCAGCTCCCGTACCTTTTCTATATAAGTTTTGATTATAGTAACCCCTATCAACCTCTAGGTTATGCGGGAAGGGCACAATAACCTGTACGCTCAAAGGAACTTTATAAGTTCAGGTTCTGACCCCAGATTAGCCAGTGTACAGGGATGTCACAGTCCGTTGTCACTGACTTCATCTGGTTCTCAAGAGGCTAGTGCCTCGAGTGAGCCGCCCTGGGTGCACGTACAGTAACCCTCTCTATTTTCCAGATAGGTACCGATTTTTAGGCCGTAGTCTGCCACGCTGACCCGATGCGGGTCGGGAACTTCACACTTTTTCGAGGGTGGTAAATTTTCTTCGACGTGCAGGTGTCATCATCTTTTTATTCACCGAAAAGCCCATGGTAAATTTCAAATTAAGATTCGCAGACAAATTCCGAAAAATTCCATGGTGCGAGCCCGGATTTGAACTCACGCACTCTGCTTGAGAGACGGTAGATCTAACTATTAGGCCATTCGAAGTTTCAAGTTAGTTTTAAAAGTACCAGGGAGAGCGTATTATAGCCAGTATTATAATCTAAAGGTGTCGGATTAAATTCCAATATTAAATTAATCACCATTGTAAAGAAACAATTACAAGGGAACAAAGCTGTACTGAGGATAAAATCAGGAACATTTCACTCGGCCAGGCAATTTGCCAACAGAGGCCAATCTTTGAGCGATCAGATAATCTGAACCACATAGAGAATCGGGTCGAGAATAGCTGGCCTTGGGAAAAGCCTTTATGTGATAAACAGATTCTAAAGAAACTATTTTATGAGGAAACAAAAGACCGGGAAAATACTTTCGGGTTCGGAAACTTGCATGTCTCAATTTGATGTCTTCCGAAGAGATCATAGAATAGTAGTCCTGTATTTTAAATTTTTATTGAATTGATGTTCAATTATTTTTTGTCCAACCAGGAATCAAGTTACCTCATCTAGCGTCCACAATGCTATCCGCTAGGCCATCGATTTCGTCGATATACCACAGTGCAATAAAAAAAATGATCTATCTAAACCCAAGTAAACGTTGGGAGAAAACGTTATTAGAAAATCGATACAGCAGTTTATTGTTAGTGATAAAACAATGTGTGTTAACAATTTCTTTTTTGTGAAAACAGTCGATGGTAGTAACACGGCGATTGTGTACGCGGCTATGAGTGAAAGTGCAATAATTCACAACATAACCGATATATTCTCGGCAAGTACTGTTACACATAGAAATACCTTACTCCATCATCAATTACACTCTGCTTAAAATAGCTTTCCATATATCTACTCCGAAAACAGTGAAACGCTAATTATATTTAAATAAATTTTTCACCTACAACAAACAACAACGTAATAAAACAATGATGGTTTTCGATGGTTGCACTATTAGGCACGGCTTTCCTGTAAGGAGAGGTATGGATGAGGTATCGTTATCATAACCAATGCATTTATTTGCATTTTGGTAATTTTCGATATATTGGTACTTAAAGATTTTATTTTTTATATTCGAGGGACAAACTCAGAGAAAACCGATTATGTTAGTATGGTCACGTAATGCGTAGGGACGATAGCCATATGGCTAAATTTTTTTGGACATGTGTCCAAAAAAATCTTGGCGCTAGAAACTGAAACCGCCAAAAGACGACAGGTAGATCCCAGACCACTTGGAATGGAACCACCCAAAGAGACTTGAAGACGATGGGTGTAGATAAAATAACGCAAAGGCGTTCGGAGTGGTGCGTGCGGACTAGGAGAGCCGATCCCAAAAAAAATAGGACATAAGGCCAGGGCAAAGATTTTTTTATTTCAAAAATTTCAATTACTTTGATTTTGTTTATCATAAAACTGAAACTAAATAATGTATTAAAAACAGCTAAGGGGTTGCAGTACTCGCTTCGTACTCGTTGCGATCCGTTCCAGATGTATTGATAACTCATTTCGCTAAAAATGGCGATTACGTTAGATAAGGAGGGCAGAATAATAAATAGGCCATAGTCTTCGCACGTGTTTCTAGGGTTGTACCTAAAAACTGACGTGCAGGTTTCATCGAGATGTTTCCCTTCACTGTTTGCGGGAGGTATTTGCTAATCATCCAAGTCAAAGTCAAACAATAATTTTATTGTACAGGTAAAATAAATTCAACATTTTTAAGCTATTGCTTGTTCACTGTGGAGTTCCACGAGAAGAACGAGCAAGAAACATTTGGAGTTGCTCTTTTCAAATGAACTTAAACGCCATGGCTTAATACAATTTGAATCAAATTTGTGCGGAATTTAGAGGCATGTCGTCTTTCCACACATTGACGGCCTCCGTGGTCGAGTGGCTTGCATACCGGTTTTCCTGGTGTCGCCATCTCTGAGGTCCCAGGTTCGATCCCCGGCCGGGTCAGTGTGGAAACTAATTTTTCTATATTGTCTCCGGTATGGCTGTTTGTGGTACGGTCGTTGTTTCTGATTTCCATAACACAAGTGCTTTAGCTACTTACTTTGGGATTAGAGCAATGTTTGTGATGTTGTCTAATATTTTTATAATTATTTATATCTTTATTTAATACGTAGTCTTCAATTTTGTATAACTTATAATAACGTAAAGTAATATGTATAACTTTTTAATTAAAAAAAATTTAATTGCGGTTTTAAACTTAGGATATGACAATTTATATACATGTATATGCTCCGGAATTTTATTATAAAACGTACACAGTTCCTCAAAAAAGAATCGTTTACCTTGGTTAAAAGAAATCGTGTTACCATGAGTTTGGATTTAGTTCTAAGGTTAATATTATGGACGTCATCATTAACCCATCATACGCCCCACCGCTATGCACGGGTATTGTTAATAAAACATTATGTAAAACATTATCTACAAGACTTCGAAGGAACCGTCGAAGTCTCAATTGAAAAGCAATTGTCCTCCTGCTGTGCTACCATCGCTCGTAAATACAAAATTCGTCGCTTGGCAAATAACATCGCTCAAGCCGAAAATTGGTAGTCTTTTAAACGTTACTCAAATGAAAATGAACGTGAATATTTGTATGGGTGTTGGTTGTATAATAAAAATGATATAAACAACGCCCATACAATTATGTTTTTAAGCTGCATTCATTATTATAGTCTTATACGAGATTCAGTTTTTTCACTCGCCTTTAAAACGACTTGAAATTATCTGAACGGTGTTGTTTGCTAAACGACAAAATGTATCAAACGATTAATCTCTTGACTTTCAGTTAAAAATAGCATTGAAACTATTTGGAACTTGTGATTGAACTCGTTTAATATATTACAGCGAAGGCTTGGCCTAACTACGATAAATAACAAATCGACTCATTCGTAGAACAAAGATCTATATGCAAGACCTACTCCTGTACCTGAGAAGCATAACACTGTAACTCCATTTTTCATGATTTGGAGTTTTTAACGGTATCTTAATTTTTCGAGGTGTATCGACCCATAAAACTGTGTCTACGAAATTCGTCTTAGGTACTGAGTTCTTTAAAAGTATTTTGATGTAAGATTCTACCCACTACGAAGCATTTTACTGTAAGTTCGGAGTTACAGTGTTATGTTCAATTTTAGTACAGATACAGTATAATGTTATAAGATAATAGCACATATACCACGATTCGCCGGTGCCTGATTAAGGAATACACCGCGAAATCCCCGAATTGAAGTTAGAGTCTCGCTACCCGTACACAAATTCAAGAAAAAATTCTGTTTAAATATGAAAAAGTTTCTGTGCCAATCCAATCAGTGGATTCTGTTAACAATATATCGAACAGCTTGTTACAAATTGAATTGATGATGAATAATTCAAAAAACTCGGCAAACATCTCCATCTCAAGGCTACAAATTAGGTTCTCATTCGAGTGATGTTAGTCTGTTTGCACAGCGAGTGCTGTTTCTATCTACTGACCCCACAGATAGGGAGTCCCGGATAGACTACGGGCTCCTCGGTAAAACCAGGGTACGGCGGGCATCCGGGCCAAGCCCTCCGCCAGTGATACGCCTTTACGGGCGTCTCCGGTGGACCCGGACTTAAGTATGGACTCGCCGGGGTTTGTGGTTAGCTACAGGGAAGAACACGTTCATCTGCCCCGGTAACATGTGGCCGGGGCGTTTGTTCCGCACGCAGATATCGCGTTTTAATAGCGGTCTAGACTCGTCTAGATCGTTAGGCTCTCGGGCCTAAGGTGAAGACATGCGCGGGTCACATGAGTTGCACTTTAAGTCGGAAGCTAAGTCCGGACATTGTCGCAAGACACTACCAGCATCTGCGGCACTAGCCCGGAGAGAGAGTAAAGGATAAGCTAGATATCCTACGATCCCTCCAGATGCGTAGGTTTATGGGAACTGGAGAGACGCTTCGGCGTCGAGAAATGAGCGTGCCTAAATTAAAATTTCGTTGACACTCCCGCTGATCCTTATGCTACAGACAATAACGATTCCGATTTTGACTGGACGCCTCCTGAACCAAAACTTCACAAGGGATAGATCATTTTATATAGTACACGTACGTGACTTCGAAATATCAGGAATTATTGTACTATTTTTATGAAAAAAAAAAAAGTTTTTGGACATAAATAGAAACTTCTTCTTCACACGGTCGGTACCTACAATGGTTTTGTATTTTTAAT